CGATGCATTATCAATAAATATGATAAAATACTTATTGCCACCTAAGTACTCCACCTCGATAAGACCATAAATATCAGAATAAATCAAATCCAGGATATTATCTTTTTTTTAAAGGCTTGCTAAAAGAAACTCTATGTTATTTTCCAAACAAATAATAATCACAAGAGATGTGTGATGAACGTTTGACAAAGAGAATGAGTGACTTCTTTGCTAATACCTATAGTCCCTTCCTGCTCATGTGCTCGAGTCTCCTATGCCACAAACTGAGAGTATCAACGTCTTGAGTCATGCTCAAAGAAGCATATGAAGCCTTCGTTTGAGTCTTTTATAAATTAGAACATACGCTTCCTCTATCCACCACAAGAGAGCCTTTGGTGATTTTACATTTTCTTCCATCAAATTGAATTTCAAATCCTATTTAGTCCAAAGTAAGACTCGAAATCAAATTGAGTCATAAATTGAGAACATGTTGCACATTCTTCAAAATCAATGTGCATTTGGTATCTGTCTGCAAGTGTATATCATCAAGTCCCACAATCTTCGAGTAGCTAATATGGCCCATCTTTACATTGCCAAAGTCACCTACTTTATATGACTTAAAAAAGATCCTAATTGGAGATAGCATGACATGTAGCTCCTGTATCCATTATCTACTCAGAATTCTGACTTGTAACACGCGTACAGTCTTCTTCTCTGAAGAACAGAATAACATCGGTCTCAGACAAAGTTGCTATAGTAGCACTATCTGTTTTCATCTTCTCATCTTTTTTTTCATCTTTGTTCCTAGATTTCTCTTTCTTCCTTGCCAACAATTCTTCTTGATATGACCCGGCTTCCCACAATGAAAGCAACCTCTCCCTTTAGACTTTGGTCTATTTTTGGATGTGCTACAATCTCTGGACTGGTCCTCGTACCTGATCATGTCCCTGTTCTCTGCGATAAGTGCCTGTGAGTTATCTATACCGATAGACTTTCTCCGAGTCTCCTCATTGAATAAACTACTAGTAGCCATATTCATCGATAACACACCATCTAGAGCTACGTTGCTAACCATTACAACCAGTGTCTCTCAGCTGTCTAGCAAAGAACCCAATATCAATGAAGCATGTAACTCATCATCGATAGACATATTCATGGTAGCTAACTGATTAATAAAGCTCTTGAACTTATTCAAATATCCTACTATATTGCTTCCATCTTTAAACTTCAAGTTCACCAATAGCCTCATAATAAATGCCTTATTCCCCCGGGTTTTCTGTTCATAGAGATCCTTAAGCTTCTTCTAAAAAGACTTGACATTAGTCTCGCTTGATACATGATGGGAACAGTCGAACAGACTAACATCGATCCACATCCGAATGTAGCCGATCACCTTCCTATGTTGTTTCTCTTATTCTTTATCGGTCATGATTTCTAGCTTGGTTTCATCTCCCTCGATAGGATCATGCATATCTTTACAATACAGAATGTCTTTCAACTTGAATTTTCATACTTGCCAATTGGAACCATCCAATCTGAGCATGGTGCTAAAACTCTCCATCTTTTTCATCTCAAGAAAAAACTCGAACCAGGACTTTGAAACCAATTATTAGGAATTTTATGGATATTAACCTGCGGAATTAAATACTAAAACAAATAACGGCGCCAATAAAAATACTACACGCAAGCAAATACTAAGATTTAATGTGGTTTGGCAAATCATGCCTATGTCCATGGGGCAATCTAGATAGCAATATCAATCACAAGTACAATTGTTATAGCTTTTTTAGTGATAAAAAATAATCCCTAGTCCAGAACAGACAAGTGTCCCATACTATGTGTAATCAAGCCAGCTCCTTCGAGATAACCTAAGGCCCAGTCCAGACGACTCGACATATCGACATCTTGCAAGGACGACTCGAAATACGTTGCATGTCGACCCGAGGCTTGGTTGACTCCCTTATCGACCTTCTTGCTCGACCATTGGGACGACATCTCGCGAGGGCGACTCAAAAGGCGGTACTGCTTGATCACTGGACGAGTAGAAAGACAACAAAATGCTTCGAGCCTTGAGTCTCCTCCTATGCACCGGCGACCAATCACATCACAATAAATACTATTAAATGCATTATGGACGTCATCGTTCCTCTACTCCTAATAGTTTTTATGATACATTGAACCACATTGGAACCGCAGACCCCTAATCACTTCGCATTAAATACTAATCACTTTGCATTAAATACTGAAGTGACCTCACTCCACTCGTCGGCCGTCACCTATAAAGCAGAAGCTGACGCGCCTGCCATTCCATACTCAGTTGAAATTACCATTCTACCCTACTATAAATAGAGATACTATTTTCAATAATAGGGTAAGTTCTTCACTACTACTCACTGTGCTTAAGAACTACTACAATTTATTTTACTTCTCCACTCAAACAAATTACTGACTTGATTGTCGGAGAAACAACTGGGGAACCCCACCCCACCCTCTTGCGATTTGTTATTTGTTCATGGAAGGACAACTCACTCTAGAACCAGACATTCGGAGGGTTAAAGGACCTCCGTCAACTTAATCACTCCCCTCATTGACTGTTTGATATCATACATCAACAATAATCCCTCAAAGTTATACCCAAACTTGAAGATCAAATCACAAGAGAAAAATACAATGTTATCTTTAGGACAGAAAGACCTAAAATCGTGTCATCATAAATCTCCAATACCTGCAAAGAAACCAACACAATATCCTTAACGGCGTTGTCGTACTGAAGACAATAACGTTTGAATCACTACAATGGAACAACCGAGTTGTTCGGAATCTCTACCCCCTCTCTCTCTCTCTCACACTCTATCTCTCTCATCTTGAAATTCGTGCCACCCAAAATAAAAGCTTTTGGGTTAGTGTAGCTATAAAAAAAACTCAGGTGATGACCCCATGTGCTCCAATTTCTTTAATAAATGAATTTTTATCTTTAGGTCCTCTTTTTCTATTCAAATTATGAATATGTCCCTCAGATTCTTTTCTTAGTAGAATACAACCAATTTGACCTATTTCTTGTGGGTCTCAATTGGGATGGACCCACAACAGAGATAATATAGGTGGTAATGTTTGGCTAAGGATAAATAAAGAAACAAGTATTATAATTGTACACATTCAAATTAATTACTATTTCATTGATCTGAGAATAGATGTTTTTTTAATCATTTCCAAGTGGTTCGGAGGGG